AATAAGTATTAGTCTGAGACTTTTAAACAGAGAATGACAGCGTGTGTCCAATAAAGAGCAGCATCTCCTAAATACTCCAGCAAGCACATTAAAAACCTGCTTTGTCATATCAGAAGATTGATACTTCACTACAAACTTATATAATGACTTAGATACAAAATAGAAGGCAGCTAAATAAGTACTAGGGACTTTACAAGAGAAGTTACTTACAGGTGAGTCGCGTGACATCCTCGATTCATGCACTTTATCGCAGTATATGATGATTTTGTTTCATTCTGGCCTGAAATTTGTGCTGTTGAGTTACATTAAGAGTCTGTCACTGAGCTGTCATGGGCAGAATCTGCGATTTCGTGGCTATAAAACGGTCTTAAGGTGTTGTTGACACTGCTGTCAGGTGTCATGCTGTCAATGATGCACAGTTCGCCGGAGGCAGAGTCCGCTTGCGCCCCTAGTGGTGCGGACGACAAACTGCACGTTACCTTCCCACCAGACGAGACGTGTTATAGTGCCAGTAGACTGAAAATGACTTCAAGTTTGGTCCCTAACTCATTACTTAAACGTGTAGTTTACTTTCACATTTACATACTCAAGCAGAATCCCTGTTTATCTCGTTGAATGTAAGACAGGTGAAAACAGGTGATCAGCGGCTCCCTCTTGTGGTCAGTAAGTGTAGCAGCTTTATTAAACAAGACGCCAAACTGAAAGAGGAGAATCGGTGGGAGGACACAAATGTGTGGCTTTATACATGTTAAAATAAATCTATAATTGTGTCAGGATCTCGAGCAGCAGATAAACACGGAATCTAGCAGTTAATGGACTCAGGTCATCTCTTTAATGATGGGTAAAATGTCTGATCTTTTGAACTGGAAGCCACATGGCCAAAATACAAACAAATAAAATACGGGACAAAATATCGTCCAAGGCTGTTTTTGAGTGATTTATCTGTTGGTAAGGTAGATGTATTATTATTATTATTATTTATTTATTTATTTATTTTTTCATTTAAAGTGTTTTTTATCGTCTAATGTTCACAGTTTCGTATGGGTGTTCGCAGATTTAAACAGCATTTATAGCAAAGCAGCAATGGTTAGGAAAGGCACGTTTGACAGCTCCCCCATGTGAACATGAAGTATATCTGCAGGACTGAAAGGAAGAGAAACACTGTTAACGAAAAACAATTGTATGAATCCAATGATTAAATTTACTGTGTGCTGCTGAACATGGGAAACCTCTCATACTTGAGAGTACTGGTTCAAATCCTGCAATTTCTAATATTTTTATATTAATATAAAAAAAATTGAGAATAAAAAGTAACTTTGCCATGTCCAGCTCAATTGTCCAACATATGAAATTAACACAAGTTGTTTTGCATGTGGGGTCCTGTGTTCACATACATTATTGCTTTCAACAATTTTTACATACACAGAATTTTTTTTTTTTTAATTAACTCTTTAAATTCAGTGACTTAGATATAAAGAGTTGTGGTTGCATTATTAATTATTCATGAAATCCCAAAAAGGAAAAATAATAATAATCATAAAAGATAATAGTTTGCATTTCATACATTAAACTCTTTGTTCAAATTCCGCATTTATTGAAGTCTTTTTATTGTATATTTGACCATATTTACTAAATAGTATCCCCACCACAAAAACTCAGTAGCTCAGCTGGTAAAGTGTTGTGTTTCAATCCTGGAGTCCTGAGTTCAAATCCCACTATATCTTATGTTAAAAATCTCACATATTGCATTATGTCCCACAAAGTGCCTCAAACACCAGCACACATCGTGAAAGCCACAGTGTGTTACTGGTATGGTCTCCCCCCTGGAGCTTCCGGCACAATGTCCAGCAGGGGCCAGAAAAAAAAAATATATATTTAGGTGTATAAAATTTCACATTCGCTGTCCCTTCCCCCCCTACTTAGGCTACTTTGCTTCATAAAGGTGTCACCCTTCTAAACGAAAATGATGGCAACCTACACATTCAGTACCCAACAACACATATTATCAATTATATTCACCTGTCAATAAGCAGATGTCCATCATTATGGCAAATTTCCCAGAACTCTGCACAGCCAAAGCTCATCCCTTACTCTGTAAAGACATAAAAAATACAAAGACTCTATACCAGGGGTGGCGAACGTCGGTCCTGGAGAGTTTTGCTTCAACCCTAATCAAACACACCTGATCCAGCTAATCAAGCTCTTCAGGATTACTAGAAACTTCCAAGCAGGTGTGATTTGGAGCTGGTTGGAGCTAAACCCTACAAGAGCTGTGGCCCTCCAGGAATTGAGTTTGAGACCAATGCTCTTTACTATACATGTAATTTTACATTTTACAATAGTAATATAAATCCTCATAAACTAATAGATAACATGGAATCAGTTCAAATGTTTGTCTTTAAAGATTAAAAACTAAAAGACCCTATATAATCTAGAAGGTGTAACCCCTCAAAAAGAAAATGATGGCAACCGACACATTTACTATGCAACAACACACAGTCACACATTATAAACATTACCTGTTCGTAAGCAGATGTCCATCATTATGGCTAATGTCAGTCCACATGTCTTGGAAGTCTGTACAGTCCAAACACTTATTCCTTATTCTGTAGAGGAAAAACATAAATAATCAAAACAAGATACATAAACATACACTTACAGTGGTGGCCAAAATTATATGACACTAGTATTTTCACCAGTTAAATGATTTCAAGTCAGTTATTTCTCTATCTTTTGCTGTAGTGTGTCAGTAGGAAATATCAGTTAACATTCATTTTGTCATTAATTGTAATAATCCAGTGAGATTTTTGTCTGACAACAGCCAGTCATACATATATAATGTAAACAAAACTTTTATATTGAATGCGATTAAAATGTTTGATAGCATTATGACATTAAAATGGGGAAGTCGTGGCCTAATGGTTATTTTATGGCAAACTGCACTTCAGTATCTAGCGTAGGAGTTATTTTATAGCCTTTCTCCCGTCACTGTAACATAAAAATTAATATTTTATATGAGTTTGGGTTGGTGCTTTCAGGAGGCTTCTGCTCTTAACGCCTAAGTATCCCAGATTGATACTAGTTTGTTATGCGCTACCTGTTACTTTTCTCAACGCTGGTGTGGTGGAACCAAACAGCTCATTTTAATTATTTTACAGAGATTACAGACTTTACAGATTACAGATTTTTTTTATTTAGAAATTTTAAGTATTATATACCATTGAAAAACACTTTCATATTTTACAATAATGAAAAATGTGACATGTTGTAGTCTCACATTTGACTAGTATTTTCAGTCTATGGATATTTGCTTCACCTCATGTCTAAGTTATGTTGTTCAATATCCTCACAGAACACTTGTGTTAGAGGAAACAGGTCAGCAGAAGGTTTCATCATAGGCTGGACAGATTTCACATGCAGCATAAACAGACCTCATCCAGGCATTTAGTGCACAGACTAATCCACTATTTTGAGCTTTATGAGAATTTCTCCACATGGACACATTTACAATGCACTCTGATGTGAGTGGTCAAAAAGTTTCTCTCCTTTTCAAGGTAAATTCTGGGTAAAAGTACATTAAAGAAGATTCAAGTGCTTCTCTATTTTTGTTTTTAACAACTGATCCACAGTAATCAGGGCTACAAGTACACTGCAGGTAAATGCAGCACAGTAATGCATTTGGCATGATATACATTACTAACATATCATGTTTGTTATTGTTATGAGATATTATTACTAAAATGAGTTAAGAGCACAGTCAAAGATCAACTTTTGCTCTGTTGGTGTTATTTAACATGTTCCATGCCACCATTTTGTTAAGTTATAGTAGGGGAGGCCAGGGTTAATAATAGCAACAAGTCAAGTTAAATGCAATAAATCTCTGCAATCACAAACAAGGCAAGCTAGAGCAATGCCACTCAGCACATGCTTTTATTAAAACATTATATAAATAATAAAAAAAATTAATTATAAAATAATACATTTTGTTACCTGCAAATAATAGGCTAAAATATATATAAAAGCAAAGTATAATTTAAATTAAACTTAAGGATGATTAATAAATATTTATTGCAAGTAACGTGGTGCTAGTTCTACCATTCCTTTTGGTATTAGATTGTTCAATTAATAAAATGTGGATGTTTAGAGTCCTTTTTGCAGTTGCACTTGTATGACAATTTTTCCACAATTTTTTTTATTGTTTTATTGTATGTGTGTGTGTGTGTGTGTGAATGGATGTATATTTTGTCTATGTATGGACAAATGTATATGTCTATATGTGCATATGCATATCTTTAATTATTATAGTATTATTGAAAATGTTTTGAATATTTGTTTTTATATTTCTCTGGTATTTTGTATTTATGTTTTTTTCTGCAATTCAATGTACTTTCTGCAATAATTTAATCTCAGTAGCCTATTGCTAAGCAGAAAAGTAAATAAACTTCAAACTTCAAGTAATTTCAAGAGATTTAAGGCATTAGTATTTCAGCAAAATGGAGCAACTATAAGAATTCTAGACAAACACACACACACACACACACACACACACACACACTATAAGAATTCTAAAGTGAGACACACAAAAACCTTTCTCATGTCTCAAAAGTCAAGGAACAGCTTATTTAAATATATAAATAAACAGAGGAATTTGTTCATTTAATTAACTATATATTAAAATAAAAAACATATTAAAACTAAATGAGCGTTGTATGATACTTAACAGTTAATAAATGCACATCAAACGAGTAGAAATGGGTGTGATTCATTCATATCATGCTGAATGCACTTATTAATAAATAGTATAGGCTAGCCTAGGCTATATCGATAATGAATAGTTAATTGGTTAAAGATGTGAAAGCGTTAACAATTTGTTACATTAATAAAATCCACAGACTTTGCCAAATAACCCCTAAACGTGCGGTACATGCAGTGTGTGTGTGTGTGTGTGTGTGTGTGTGTGTGAGAGACTGAGCAGGCTTGTTCAGTGTGGGCTGTGCAGCTTTAAAGTGCTCGCTCCATGATGCCTTGCGGTGTCCCGCGCACTATTTTTACTCGTGTTAGAGCAGAGCTGCCGCTGCTGCTGATGTAACGGGCCACGCTGACTGAACTTCAGCGAGCGGACCCTACTAACTGACCTCAACCGGACTACATTTACGGACATCGGACGAAGGGAGTCTTTACGAAACATTCAAAGGAAAACCACACCATCTGCTTAAATCTGGGTTCTCTGGCGGAGCGAAGTAACAGACCCGGACTGAGGATTGTGGCGGTCTGGGACTGCAGACACACGCAGGTACGGAAATTATATTAAATAAACCGTGTTTTGGACCGTCGTGAAAGCCCGAGAGATGGGCGACATGTATTTAATGTGTTTTCATGGGGCATCTTGAAATAATTGCGACGGGACGCGTTACATGAAGGCGCAGGAGAACAGACGCATGACACGATACTGTGTGCAGTCAATGTCAGGGCTTTTATCACCAGCCCAGATCTACTGATATGCGTTTCAACGGGGTTCATGACAGTGTGATGGTCAGTGTTTTCCACCAGATCAGCAGCAGGCCTGCAGCCCCTCCTAAACTTACGAACATACAGCACTGCATCCCATAAACACTAAGGCTTTATAGTAAGTTTAATTAATGAGTCAGACATTATAAGGGAGACTAGTGCTAATTGTCACAGTGGTTGTTTCTGATTATTCATAAGGTTTTGAATCAAAACGTGTTAAGCTATTTAGGGTCCATTGTGACTTACTGCATATAGTTTACAACATGCCCCTCTATTGTGTATTTTCATAAACCTTTAGTAAAACATTCACTGGAGCAAAAGTGCGACAACCAGCCCTCACTTAATGTTCATCAGATTGGTAGTGTACATTGAAATATGAATGTGTGAAAATATTTGAATCAAATTTTCCTGACAATGCAATTATTGAAATGCATACAAATAGTAATGTTTTGTGATTGTGTGAGACTTCTGATTCACTAGCTTCTATATGTAAATAACTAAAACACTAACAAAGTGCAGTAATAAATAAATTTAGGATATTGATAATAAAACAATAAAATAAAAAATACTCATTTGCAACACCAAGCAGCATAACAGGCTCTTTCTGTACACCTAAAACAACTAGAAGTGGCTGATGAAAAGTTAAAAATGCCACACCTGCTCTTATGTTAAAAATAAGGTGGGTAGTAAATTACATTATATAATGAATTAGGCATTATATAAAGTTATAAACTGAACATAACTCTGGCTTCAACACCTTCGAAGTTTACATAATGTCATACAAACTGCAAAGTTATATGCACTCTTATTAATAGATAAGACCGTTTTTGTTAAGGTGATTTGATTACATAAACCGACTATCAGAACTTACACAAGAATATGCAGTAGAGGCCAAACTGTTGCCTTTGTTATTAAGGTAATGTGCTTTACAGCAGGTTTGTATTTCTGTTTAACTGCATCAGATTTTTCTCCATGTCCACTCTCTCAATTTTACTGACAATTATGATAAATTCACCCCTCATTTCAAGAGCTGCTTGCTTACAGACATTTTGTGTGTGCCTTCTTACTAAAACTGTTGTCTGTTAGGGAAACGGGCTCTAGACCACATTCCAGAGGCATCTTAATATCACATATGATGATCTAGAACAAATAACCAAGGGAATATTTAATGAACACATTGCTTATTTCTTGGTCAAAATTGAACTGTTAGTTGAAATTTGTAGTACGTTAGTTCATTTTCAACATACAGCTTTCAACCACTCCTTCAGACGCAGCAGGCAGGGCAAGACCCATCAAAAATAGACCAGACAGAGTCATCTTAGTAGTCAGGATATTGTGCAACACAGGATTTGTATGTGTATTTTTTAGCTTTCGGACACCACCTTCCTCTGCCTCACTTATAGATCTGTTTACACATGCCTCATTCATAGAAATGACTCACTCACAACCGATTACACATGCCTCAGCCACTCATTACACACAGTCTTATATGACAACAGCTGGCTCATCAAACACCCACTGATCAAATCTGCTGACCGTGGATATCATCAACGTGCTAAATAACTCCAGCGCAAGACCTACCAGATGAAGGGAGAAGAAAGCAATAGAGAGCTGAGTGAAGGCCGGACGGAGTAGACAACAGTACAGAGGCAGTGAGACAGAACTGTGCTGACAGATGTACATGTAATATCATGAATAAATGCATGATCATAAATGCATGGCAATGCAGATCAGGATCTGATGTAGGCTGCAGAAAGCTGTTCTGTACTTTTGATGCGGTACTAGTAGGCAGACGAGATCTGCACCCACCGATTTCCAGTTCAACACATTGTTTGTTTATAAAATGCCAAAAATGTTTGGTCTGTGCATACAGTATGTGTGTAACCACAGGACACAGACAGTTCACAGACAGTTCACTTCCCTCTTTTGAACCCACACTGTCCAACTCAAGGAAATGAAGGGATTTGTCTGCTGTGCAATAAGAAAATAATGACTGTTTACATGAAGGTTAGGGTATGTGCACTGCACAATATGCGATGAATTTTATAATCAGCATAGTATAGATACTGCACACATACACAATTTTTCTAACTGCACATACTCTGTATGTTCAGCTTATTTTGCACTAATTAGTTTGTCTGCAAAGTGGCAACGCTGCCTAGACTGTTGTTTTACTGTCTAAAAAGAAACGGATAAGACAGAACAACAACAAATTATTGGTGACCAAACAACTAAATAATTGGTGCTTTCAGTGACACCTCAAATTGTGTTGCGGGGAGGTGTGCTATTACTTGACTAAGCGTTCAGATTGGTAGAAGATAAATATGGCGAAATTAACACAGACTTGTCTTGCACTGAAGGAAGGACACCAGTCATTTCTAGAAGCCAGAATATCAAACATACTTAAAAGGATAGTTCGCACAAAAAATAAAATCTGTCATTAATTACTCACCCTCATGTCGTTCCAAACCCGTAAGACCTTTTGTTCATCTTCAGAACACATACAAATAAGATATTTTTGATGAAATCCGAGAGCCCCCGGCTCCCACATCAGCAGCACCACATGCATGCGCCGTGGTACTCTTGTGAATATGCATCAAAGACTGACACAAAAGAGAAGAAATTTTTCTTTGTGCACAAAAAGTATTCTCGTAGCTTCATAACATTATGGTTGAACTACTGATGTCACATGGACTATTTTAACGATGTCCTTACTACCTTTCTGGGCCTTGAACATGTCAGTTGCATTGCTGTCTATTGTCTGTCAAAAATACCAAAAATATATATCAAAATAAAGATATCAAAAATATCTTTGTTTTCTGAAGATGAATGGAAGGTCTTACGGGTTTGGAACGACATGAGGGTGAGTAAATTATGACCGTATTTTCATTTTTGGGTGAACTATCCCTTTAAGGTGTGACCTGGGCCTGTAAGCAACTACATTGAAACCAACCAGAACACCCAAATAAACACAGAAAAACATTAACAACCACTCTGAACACTTTATACCATATAGTAGTGCACTAGAATAACTACAAAACCCTGGTATTGTGTTGGTGAGTTTTTTTTCTATGGACAAGCTTTTAGAAAATGTAAAAATCTAGTTTTATATTGTTTAAACGCCCATGCAATGGCAAAGGTCACTAGCAATGCCTGTCAAACTATCTAAAGAAAACATCTCACAAAGGGTTGATTAAACATAATTCTTGTATTAACAATGAATGCCGAAGGAAAATGTTTTAGAGAGAAACAAGACTGAGCTCTCGCTCAAAAGCTGAATTTTAATTTGGTTCAAATAACTATATAAACTTTGTGTTGACCTGCAAGGTATGCATATATCCGGCATTCCTTCCCCCACATTGTGTGTGATAAAGCCAATTACTGTGACATATTCACCTCAGACTAAATTTACTTTGAGTTAATGAATCGTACTCAGGGTTTCTCATCCTCAACAGATGCTCTACTGACAAACAATTTCATTTTAAATGGGTTCAATTCAGTGTCAGTTCATGACTCATTGGTGTGTTGTTCAGCTGGGAACCCCTGACAGGACAAAGTTTTACAGTGGGACATGGACAAACGTTAAAATAAAGAGATTGTTCCTTAATTGCTGGTGTTTGTTAGTTCCCAAGCCGATCACAGCTGGCCATGTGAGAGATTCACAAAGCTGCGAAAGCATCACTATGGAGATGGATTGTTTGTGTCCAGTCATACTGTGAGGCATGCAGGGGTGGGCGTCTCTCCAGCGGACCTTTGTGTTTGTCTGGACCCTTGTTAGAACAGCCCCCCACTACAGTCCACACACACCGTTAGGGTCCTGAGGAGTTTTTCAAGTGCTGTAGATAAAACTCCAAGAATTACAGCGACTGAAATGCTAGACAACAGAGCAAGCTTTCATCTCAAAAGCAGACCTGTTGAAAGATCTGGAATATGTTGTACTGACCCTAGTCAAGGTAGACACCATGTTTAATCTGACACAAATTTTGCTGAATAAACAATCGACACTAAATTTTACAACAAAACAACATATTGAATGGAGTGTACTGCCAGCCCTCACCTCTCAGTTTTGTGTCAACAAATATGACAGCTAGCCTGAGTAGTTTTATAAACTTTAAACTGTTATATTCAACAGCCCTGAGTTAGTATAGCAGAATGGATGTACATCATTGACATGACAGAGCATGTGAGAGTGCTACAGCATGCAGGGACCGTTACACCCAATGGGGTTACTGTAGCATACAGCCATATGTGCTGTGCTGATCTGTGTTTACAGACGTCAGACGTGAGTCGACTGGAATGTGAGTTTAGACGCATTACGTCTCCTTTAGCAGCTGTTTTGGCTGAACCTTACACTGACAGGCCGCCAAAGCCTTGAGTTCGTTAAATTTAGCCCCGGGTCATGGAGCCGAAGCTCGTCTGGGGCAGATGCCTGTATCATGTATATCAGTTAAACACAGATTCTGCAGCTGACACATAATACTGTTGGGGGGTAGGGCTTGATGCAGTGTTTAAAACATACAAGAAAACAACTGTATGCTGCTTTGCTGAACGGGTAGGACTGGACTGAACTAACAAGCTCATGAGAGATTTCTAAAGCAGAAGTGAATGATTACACTTCCTGGCCTGATGTCTCTGCCCAAGAGAGACTGATTAGAACATGATATCGGAGTATCAAAACTCACACCAGGACAGAATTAAAACAAGATATTTAGAAAATGTGAGTGATGCTTGCCCATGCAAAAGCTAGGATGTTGTGGGTGGTTTCCAAGCAGTTCTAAGTAGTTTTAAGTGCTTTTCAAGGTGGTAACTAGGGTGTTCCTTGTGGTTGCTATAGATGGTTGCGTACTGGCACAAGTGAAAAGAACCCAACCCTCTGTCTCTGTTATTCTTGCTTGGATACCTCCTTCAATTTGGGATTTCCCAAAATTGGTAATCTAATCATTTAAAGTTGACATGAAATAGAAATTTACCCTATTTTGTAAATGTATCTTATTCATCTTATTGAGAATGATTCACATTGGCTGGCCATCTACAACCATTTAGTTTACTTAAACCCGCTTTTTTTTTATAAGACAGACTACAAGCTTGCATTCAGAACTGCCTCCATTCAATCAGCAACTGATGGGCAGAACCAAGTCCCCGACCTTCTTTTTTTTTTTCCCTTTTCGATTCATTTCACTGCTATGTACATCACAATAAGGAAGAAGAGATCTGTCGATACTGTCTTTACTTTACAACTTTAATGGGGTCATATGATGCGATTTCAAGTTTTCCTTTCTCTTTGGAGTTCTTTAAAAAAGCATCATATGACCCCTTTAAAACATCATATCGCACCCTTCCTCAACTGGTTTCATAATGTGAGGTATTACAATATCCATGGCACAAATTTAGGGATGATTTCTGTGCCGGAATTTAATACTTCGGGGTTTGCTAAAACTGTATTTCCGTAGTGTTGACATATGCAGATACAGATATCCATCATGCATATCAGCTGGGTGTGAGATGGCATATCAAGATATTGCCCACTGCCCATCAGAGGCCACTTCAGATTTCAGCAGCCCAAACACTCCTGGAGACAGAGGGAATGAAAGACAAACAGAGGACTTTCTCTCTTCACAACACACACACACTGAAAGACTTATTTCCTGTCAAGGGTGTACAGCTCATCTCACTTATCCTTTATGAGTGTGTCCCATGGGAGTGGGCGCCATCCATACTTTTCACACAAGCCTGTTTGGACCAGTTCTTCTGCTTGAGTGGTTCATGGCTAAATAACTCACTCTGATCACTCAGTACACTACCACAGAGGACAAGCATCAGTCTATACTAAAGTTTTCCTTGACAATAAAATGAAGTAAATAAAACTTGCACAACAAAAAATAACATTTATCTGACAACACATCTGAAATTGAGAGCTTTAAACATATATTCTGTGTGGTATTTGTGTATGCTTTGTTTAATTTATCTTTTAATGCAAGGGTCTTAAATCTTAAAATACCTAGCTAAGAGTGTTCTCCATTGGGGGCAGTTGAATAGTTTTTTTTTTTCAACTGTCTACTCTGACTATACATAGCACTGATACATATAAGTGAGTCGATGCAAACGAATGAATTCTCTCCTATCAGACTGTTAAATCAATAAAAAAAAAAATAATAATTTAATCAAGTCAGACAGGCAGAATAAAGTGGTGGGGTAGGTAAAAACAGGATGTCCATCAACTAGCCACAATCCTTAAGAGAACAACAGGATAACAAAAGGCCAAACCACAGTGAAAATTGATTTGCGAGCCGGATTTGAGGATAATAACAGATCAGGGCTTGTGTGAGCAAGCTGGGAGTAAAACTTTAGCACTGCAGCACCCAAACCCTCCCTTCACGAGGAACTAAAGATGCCATCTGCCAGACTGACACTATGGATGGAGTATCATAAAGAACCAAGTGCTAGTAAGGTCACTGTTATTGAAGAATACGGAGAGGTATTTATGATTAAACCATTCCTTATGTAAGCGGAATTAGCACAAACAGTTATTTGGTCTTTCAAGCAGTGATAAGAGTGGCATGCAGACCAGAGAGCTTGCAACGGGTGCCTGCAGAGGTGAGGAATGACATCCAGATGAGAGGCATGGAGCTGAAGGTATGGGTGGATGGAGTGCAGCGTATCGTCTGCGGGGTCACAGAAGTCACCACATGTCAAGAGGTTGTTATCGCTTTGGCCCAAGCAATAGGTGAGACACTAAACACATTGTACCCTAATCATCGAGATCCAAACAGGGTTTTGGTCACTTTTGCATGCTCAAAACACAATCTGATTGGTGAATAACTTGTTACACAATGGTACCATTTTTAACAGAACTTTTTTCATGTTTTTTTTTTTTTTGGCATGTTCCCTTCCAAGCTCCCTCCTCCATTGTTCTTCCCTTCCACTGTTTTTTACGCAACATAACCCTCACTATGGTTGTCTCCTTGACAACAAGCCCTCTTTGAGATCAGAGATGGGAGCAGTGAAATGCAGTATTGTCCCTTCTAGTCTCAGAGTTTGACCCTATCACCCCATACTAGAAAAAATGAGACCATCATTTCATCTTATCTTATTCCATTATTTCATGAATAAGTGCAATCTCTGTGCCACTGAGGCGCCTGGTCTCTGGGGAATGTCGGATGAATTTCCTTTGGAAAGTTAAATCTTTGTGTCGTCATGAGCTTGTATGTCTGCTTGCTACTCTGTTTAGCCATACACAGTTTTATTAAAGTCAAAGTATGTAGTGTAGTGTAATGTTAAAGTATTTTATGCCTCGTTCAGACTGTCAGCCTAAATTTTTGTGCAAATCCTATTGAAATCTGATCATATATATATATATATATATATATATATATTCTGAACGGCGAAAAGAACTACATGAAATCCGTTTTTGCTAATCCGTTTTGAGCTACATTCATATGTGATTTGGATTCCTATTCAAATTGCATTCCTGGAAATCCGTTTTAGTCTGACGGGTCAGATCGGATTTAGCGCATGCCATGTAAAACGTAAACATGTCAGACGTTTTTGTAGAAAACATGCTTAATGTCTTTGCAGAAACAAGCTTGTGTTGTTGCAAAGTTTAAGTCATGTGGAAAAAGACAATTTACTGCTAGTGTACGCACCTCTGAGTTTTGAAACTAGCAGAGATGGCAGCACAGAATAAAATCGCACATTCCAGATTCCTGCATTTCTGCCACTGCCTCATAAGATGAAATATAAAGCTGCGTGATAGCAACATAGTCATGTCGTAAGACAACATCTGTTTTGCAAACTGTATTGTTGTTATTGTTGTTTTTAGTGTAGGCATAACAATGCAGTGGTATTGCCATAGAAACCAATGCACATTCCGTAAAACGAAACAGCGCTTCCGGACACACAAATTGGATTTGAACGGTTCGATACACTGTGTGGACAGTCAGTTGTCTAGATAGGATTGCAAACAGATATGCACTAAATCGGATTTAAACTGACAGTCTGAACAAGGCTTTTGTCCTATCAACTATATGCAAGTCATTCATAGGTTCACACTCTAAGAGCTTAAAAGATATGGCTCAGCTAATGAACGTGTTTGTTTGAATAACCTGACAAAGCAACAGAGGCTCAACCGGTGGCCTGATTTTGGGGTGGGACTACTTGTTTGGCTGACTAATGACAGATCGGAGGAATGTTTGGGAAACTTGTTTGAATACAACCATTGTTTTTGCAATTCAGGTTTTTGACGCTAATGCAGAAATTGCACTTCAAATTGCTAATGTAAAAGTATTGTTTTGCAGGGCGGACAGGTCGCTACACGCTGATTGAAAAATGGCGCGAGACAGAGAGGCACCTGGCACCCCATGAGAATCCTGTGGTTTCTCTGAATAAGTGGGGTCAGTACGCTAGTGATGTGCAGTTGGTGCTTCAACGTACAGGCCCATCTCTGAGTGAGCGCCCTACCTCGGACACCTCTGCAAGAGCCCCAGAACGCAGCTTATACCGCCAAAGTCTCCCTCCCATGGCAAAGCTCCGCCCCACAGTCAACGACCGTTCCCTCAAACGACGTGAACCAAATCGCAAGTCCCTCACTTTCACTGGTGGTGCAAAGGGGTTACTTGAGATCTTCGGGAAGAATCGTGAGGGTGAGACCAAACAGAGAGTGGTAAATACAAAGCGCAGCAGCACTCCGGCCCCTACACAGGAGCTGTCCCGCCTGGTGCAGTTGCAGAAGGACAAGTTGCACATCCTAGAGCAGAAACTGCAACGCTGCGAGACTGAGTTGCAGCAGCAGTTGACGGAGGAAGAAGAAGAGGAGCTGGTCAAACTAGAGCAGCAGGTCTGCAGGAATGAGGCGGAGATGAAGGAGCATGAATTCTGGGAGAATGAGTTGAAGATTGAGCAGGACAATGAGAGGCAACTTCGTGAGCAGCTGCAGGAACTGCGCAGCCGTGTACAGGAGTGCGAGGAGCAGCTGGGAGAGTACCTGGCACGTATTCAGTGCATGGAAGCAGGGCTGGAGGCAGAGCGCCTGCAACAAGAGCTGATGGAGACGCGGCTAGCGGATGAAATGGAGGTCCGGTCGCGACTGGACAAGGCTTGTGCCGAGCTAGACATACAGGTGCAGCAGGCTGCAAGACTGGAGAGCAGCTGTAGAGCTGTGGAGCTCTCACTTGGGCAGTCGAACATCAGGCTACAGGTGAGATCAAAATTCACTTAGACTAACAGTTTAAAGTGATCAGAATTGACTGAGGTTGCTTTCACAAGTAAATCCTTTGGGGTGGACCAGATCTACTTTGACATGAGTGAGTCTTGTCGATTTGGTTAGTGTAAAGCTGTCCAAAATCAGGTGCACAACAGCAAACCAAGTATTCAAGTATGGTTCGCAGTTGGTATGAAAGCAATTTGTACAAAATTTCAGAAGTGAATCACTGTTGATGACTTGGGGAGCATGCGGAGATGAAATAGTATATGTATTTCTTAAAGATTTATATCTCATAGCTCAGGGCTGTCCTTTCCTAATCCTGGAGAACCACTATCTTACAAAGTTTATCTCAAATCCTAATCAAACGCACCTGAACCAGGTCTTCAGGATCACTAAAAACTTCAAGCCAAGTGTGTTGGTGCAGGTTGGAGCTAAACTCTGCAGGATATTGGCCCTCCAGGAGCAGGATTGGACAATCCTGTCATAGCTGTTCTTTCAGGGAGCAGTTTGCAGTCTTTGCATCTCTTGCATTGCATCCATGACAGATATACTTAAGTGCTGTTCTGTGCATATAAAGTTTTGGTAGTAAATCCAGTGTTCTCTAACCAAGTGTCAAAACAACCTATGAAGCAAAGTACTAATGAATAGCCAGTGCTTTGTTCCATGCAGTACAAGCGTGGTTTGCTGAAACCTTGTGATCTGCAGCTGCTTTGTTTTGGACTCTTTGGCCTTAAGTTCCAACAATGCTACTAATCAGACAGAATACATGCTGCCTCAGCCTTCGTTCAATCCATCAAACTTCTGGTGCAAGTTAGAAAATGCAGCATCATGATGTCTTTCATTTCTAGAATGTTTCTGAATCTCCGTAAACCTCATATACGATGCGATTATGCAAGCAGAAGGAATTTTAAGGAGATGCAAAGAGATCGTTGAGGATGATAAATTATGCAGTTTATATTTTATGGCTCATAGTTGTGATGAAAACTCATAGTAAGGGGTGGGGTTTCGCCTTAGTTTGCACTTTATTGGCCAAAACATCTGCTGTGGAATTTTACTGAAATCTTAAAAGCTGCAGAATCATTTTCTGCGTTTGATAGCGCTAATCAGGAAAACAGGTGCATGCAATATTTTAAAACCGTGTGAGAGTGAGTAAGAGGTGTTTTTGCATGAAAGCAGCTTGTGGCAAGTGAAATTTGGTACCTTTTTAAAATGAAGCAATGGAACCTGGTTTTGTGCTGAACAGCTTAATTTTAAAAAGAAGCCTTTTAAATTATGCAAGTACAATGTAGATACGCACAAGTCGTAATGACTGGCCTAGATCAACGTGTTCTGCTTAAGCTTTCAGTGAACCTTTTTGGCCAATAAATGCATTTTATTTCTGACACTGAATATTTAGTTTTATTTTTTTTAATTTAGCTGATCCCACTAAAATCCTTATCTAGAGTTGTCTTTTTTTCCCCACATACTAGCAAAAATCACATCAGTTGCATATATTTTAAGCAAATCTTTTTTAGAACTTTATTTCTTATCAAACCAAAGTGTTCTGGAAGTCATGAATATCTGCATGAATGTAAAGATTTGTAATTGTGTGTATGTGCAAAGGGAAGCAGCTCCAAAATATTGTTGATGACATGATTTTTTTTTTAATTGTTTAAGTGTAGTAGCACCTGCTTCCCTTAAAGCTACATTCACACAGATGCAAAATTACTTTTTGCTTAATAATTACTTAATTATTTTTACATTTAATATGGACATAAGCAAGGAGCTCTTGGAAGTGTGTATAAGTACTCATTTATATTTGCTGTAGTAGCTTCTGAATTTGTTTTTATATTTTTGTTAACTGGTTAGCTTACTGATATTTTTTTCCAAAAACACTATTTTGCCAAAAGCCAGTATTAACATGATCTTCATGGATGACTGAATCATTTTATTTTTAAGTAAAACAAAAAACAGGTTTGGTTTAAAGCGCTGCACATCATGCTACATTCAAAACCATCTGCTTCTACATTTATTGAAGATTGTAGTAGAGTAATTGAGTAGTCGTGTGTTGATTTCACACAGAACTGGTGCTCGGATGATTTGCAAACGAGCATTCGACTGTCTGAATGGCGCATGACTTGAAGAACAATGTCATCTCTGTGTGACGAGGGAAACATTTGAGAAGCATGCCTTAAAAAAAAAAAAAATGAAAGTTGTAAATAGCATATAGCAACATATCAATAAGTAGCAAAGAGGACTATTTTTAACATAGATAAAAAAAATTGCACAGCGTTCTCTAAACAGCTAAAATAAACAAAATATTTTTATTTTTTAGCATTGTTAGGCTGCATGCACTGATGTTCAGTTTTAAGCTTATGTGAGGGGTCTGAGGATCCACCTATGGCACTTAATACAGGTGTAATACTCAACTGGGCTGTATTAAGGTGTAACATGGACTGCGCTAAATGCCTGTATAAATATCTGTGCAATTGTAACAGGCTTGAGGTTTGGGACTGATGTGTGTGCATTAGAAATTAACAGTGTGCATTCTATCACCTGCTGCTATGCACACGGGTGTGACTAAAATATTAAGCTCAGCTGAAAGTTGTTAAAATCAAATGGCATCATGGTTTGATATCTCTGGATCACAAGTTTTAACCTTTAATGCAGTACCAAAATCCCTTTGGGCAACAGACTTCGATTCAGCTCTATTTTTAACAAATTAAGTTTAATTAAACTACATCCTTCTTGAGAAGTGTCAGATGCCTGGAAGACACATTGAAATGATTTATGTTGACGTTTATCGAGCAGCATAAACGATTTATGCCATCAGTGGAAAAGGTGCAGTAACACTGTAAAATATGAAATAAATTTAGAATAAAGCATTGCTGTTTACAGTGTCTTTTTTTTTTAGGTTGTTGCAGTCAGCAACCTAGAACATGTTTATGTGTGCTTAGCAAAATTCTTACACAACAGGTCAATTGTGTTATTCTGTGTTTAGCTCATTTTTGGTAGAACAGATTTAGTGATTAATTCAGCCTGGCAACAGTTACAAAAAGCAACCACAAAGCTGGTTCTAAAAATATCAGAACAGTTCCAGTCTCAGCTTAATGAGTGTGTCCAGCTGGTTAAAGACCTGACTAAGTTCAAACACCTTGATTTCCCTAATGGCTTCCCAGCAGAAGTCTTAGCTGCAGGCACTGAGAATGCAGAGAGTAGCCTGGGGCAGTTATTTTGCCCTGTTGGATGGATTTTACTCAAATCCAATGACTGCAGGCTCCTTCAGTGCAGAGGTGGAGAGTTCTGCTGAGAAAAGAAGTACTGCATGCCAGGAATCAAATCCCACATAAACAATCACTTTCACCTCTGCTCAATATGTGTAGAGTCTGACAGCAAGCATTAGGATCGCATATATCAACACCACCAGATGCCTCTTCCTCACTGGAGTCAGAAAACTCGACACTAACTTCCTCTGTCCTTGAACAGATTGCTCTTTCTGTTCATTAGAGTCAAAACACATCCACCAAACACACTTTTGAAGCCTTTTTTAAAGGTAGGATAGGCAATTTCATAGAGGCTAAAATTAGCAAGCTAGCTTTGAAAGCATAAGATCCCACCCTCCCTGCAAATCACTCTCCAAAGCCACACCTCCTACAAAACACATGAACACGCAGTTAGGCAGACCAGAGGCTAACCAGCGACACGAGGAAAGACGGCATTGGTGGAGGGTAGAATGCAATGCTGGCAGATTACCTCATGGCTCATTCACTGGTGAGAAAACATTACAGTACAAAACGCATAATATTACAATAATAACACCTTCCATTCTTGCTCTTGGTCCATTCTTGGTCTGCAAAATGGACCGCGCCGATTACGCATCACGTGCGCGAACATGGTGCGTAGATGTATGCAAATATATATGCTGAAAAGTAGGTAGGACAGCCTATTGTAGCCCTCGGACCAAGGGATATAATTGGACGAACATTTTATGGTCTTACGCTTTTGTGACTGCTATCAGAATGTGAACACACTTTCAACCAGCATAACAAAAAATGTTTTTTAACCAAATCACCTACTCTGCCTTAAGTCTTGCATGAGCCTGTCCCAAATGGCACTTTTTATATGGACTCCTAGCTTTTCCTTATAGATGTCTATGGCCCTGTCCCAAATGGTACCCTAAGCCCTTGTGGTCTTCCTCAAAGTCCAGATTTTGTGAAGTGGTGCTGCATTGACTGCTGGGTAGAATGTCAGTGTGGGCCCAGATGAAGTGCATATTGAGGGCACACATCAGTTGCAAAGAATTTCTGTTGAGCACCTTTCTAAAACTTAAAATGACAAATGGGACACTATGATTGTTGACTTAACAGACACATGCTCATGGGGGCCGTTGTGAGTCCACGAGCACATTAAATGAGCCATTTGGTACAGTCCATGACTCCTTAGGTACCCCTTTGTCATTTTATGCTTCCAAGGTGTGCTCAAAAGTGCCTTCATATGGCCACAGTGAACATTTGCCATTACATCACCAAAATGTGGACTTGGATGAGGACCACAGGGACTGAAGGTGCAATTTGGGGAAGGGAAGCTAACAAAACATGTTGGAATCGGAGGTTCATGAAAAAAAAAATGTGTATTTACCATCCCTTGATATTTCCAGAGGTAAGTGGTGATGCTTTCTGAACATCTAAGTGATATACAGTACAGGCAAGTACATAAACTATGATTAAGAAAATAAGCATTAATCAAAGACCATTTACATCGACACAAACATGAACATTAACACGGTTTACAATTTCTTTATTCTGTTTCAGAATATTACAGACTCTTTGTACAAACTAAAGCATATAAAAAGTGTGTCCTTATAAAACATTGCCTTTCTCTTCTTGGTCTGACACAAAACCAGCATCCTGGCAAAAACATCATTTGATATCATGCCAAAGGTCACATCACATCCTCTCAACAAATCAATGATCCTGCAGTTCCACACATCATCTGGTGGCTTTTCCATTCTCATGAACATCCATCCTAATAAACAA